ACTGGTGTAGCGCAAAATGGTACGTCTCTTAATCTAAAAAATATAAAAGTTGTCGTTCTTTCGATCTCCGCCACTATTATCCAACTACATTACTGACTCCTACAAATTGGATAAAGTTGAATCTTCTGTTGATTTGAGCGTAATACTAAGCTTGGTTTGCATATTAATTCTTGCGTTAAAAAAGCAAAACCTTAACTGGTCTTCATTAAGCGTTGGTCCAAGGAGTTTGGTGATACTTACGTAATTAATAAATTATTTTTTAGCCTACTGCTCTAGAATATGGATGTAAATTGTGGATTCTATAAATTTTACTCTGATAAAATTGAATGAGTACAACTCAGTAAGATAAGTTCGTAAATTGGTCACGTTTTCGTGTAGCCCCCATTTAATGGTACGTCCTAATATTCGGTATTTTGAATAATGTCACAAAAATCATGAAAAATAAAGAATACAAAATTTCTAGATACACAATTGTATGAGAACTATTCAAAATTTAAACCTATATGGACATTTCTATGCAAAGATGCTCTTAGTAAACGAACACCTATAGTGGCAATTTACAGGAAATTCGGTTCAAAACTGTGAATAATACACTGAAAAAAGAGAGCAAATTCTAATCCAACTGCAATTGTTGTGCAGGGCCCAATATTAACTATTTCAAGCCACTTAGTCGCTGTAAATGTTCATCATATAATCATATAATATAAGCTTGTTGTTGTAGCACGTTGTAAAACAGTGTTAATATTCAGGTTTAACCTGGATACTTGTAATGTTAATATTCGTAATTATAGGAAATCTATGTTACGTGATGTAAACGATGACGATGTAAACATCTTCAAATTTGACTCACCTCAGCAGCGTGAAGTTTCGTTTTTTAAAATAACATTTTGTAACAGACTTTTTAAAACTATTGTTATTAGTTTGTCTGGTAAAATAATTTGTTTTCTGTGTAAGGGATTTAAACTATATTTGCATTATCTGACCTACAGTTCAACAAAATATATATCAGGGTCTTGATTGGTTTACCCCAATGAGATGTTTGCACAATTAAAAAAGCAGATTATTCAAATGAATTGAAATTCCACATTTTCACTGTACTGAACTATTAAAAGTATTCTTCCTCAAGGAAGACATATAACTCTGAAAACTCCAAATGTTATTCAAAATATTTAATATAGATGGGACAAAACCTTTGCATAATCCTTTTTATACCCTCCACCATACTATGGAGGGTATATTAACTTTTTCATTCCGTTTGTAACTCCTCGAAATACCCATGTCAGACCCAACAAAGTATATATATTTGATCAGAGTAAAATTCTGTCGATTAGCGATTTAGTGATATCCGTTTGTCTGTCCGTCTGTCTGTTGTAATCACGTTAGCTTTTAAACAAATTGAGATAGAAGGCTACAATTTTGTACACATGTGGACCACGAAGGTCTACGTTTCCATATAGCCACCCATATAACGGCAGCTACCAATATTCGGTATTTTGATAATTTTACCGACATTATTCACCGGATTTTTTTGTATTTGGTATTTGATGTTCATAATGGATACCAAAGCCTATGACAGAAAATTGTATGTGCAGGTCAACGTCTTCGTATAGATCCCATATAACGATACCTCCCAATATTCGGTATTTTGATGATTTTAGCATCATTTTAGCACACCGGAGTAGTTTCAAATTACGCATTTAGAGTTCGTAATGGGAACTACAGTCTGTGACAAAAACTTGTCTTTGAAGGTTCAGGTCTTCGAATAGGCCCCATATATCAGTAACTCCCTAAATTCGGTATTTTGACGATTTTAGATACAATACTCACCGAAATTATTTGAGATGTCGTATTTGAAGTTCGTAAAGGATGCTACAGCCTTTTTTCAATCATCTTACATCTCGACTGCTTTTAACGGTTCTAATTGCTACAATATTGAGAAATTAAATCATATTCTTCGTATTATCCTAACAGAAAATGAAGTTTTTTCTAGATTAAAAACGTTTCGCTCCTCATTCTCTCCACACCAAGCGCCATTCCAAAACTCTTCCAACTTTCGATATTACGAAGGATATCACATTATTAAACAGTATAATTTCGATGAGTTACAGACTGACGTTATTTATACTGATATTAGCAAAGTTTTTGGTACGGTAGTTTATAAGTTACTGTTGCATGAACTAAATTTAATGGATATCCCAACATCCCTGTTAAACTGAGTATCATATCCATAGTTATTTTTAATCAATCCTCTTCAAGGAATTTTATTGTTTCATGTACCCCAGGAATGTCACTAGATCCATTATTATTGGTTCTTTACCTGAAAGATCTTCCGAATGTAGTTTGATTTTTCAAAATTTTAATGTACGTTGATGATGTGAAGCTCTTCCTGCACACAAAATCACTTAGCGATTAAAACTCCTTACAATACTATTTACACTCCCTCGTAAACTGGTGTAGCGCAAAATGGTACGTCTCTTAATCTAAAAAATATAAAAGTTGTCGTTCTTTCGATCTCCGCCACTATTATCCAACTACATTACTGACTCCTACAAATTGGATAAAGTTGAATCTTCTGTTGATTTGAGCGTAATACTAAGCTTGGTTTGCATATTAATTCTTGCGTTAAAAAGCAAAACCTTGACTGGTCTTCATTAAGCGTTGGTCCAAAGAGTTTGGTGATACTTACGTAATTAATAAATTATTTTTTAGCCTGCTGCTCTAGAATATGGATGTAAATTGTGGATTCTATAAATTTTACTCTGATAAAATTGATTGGCCACGTTTTCGTGTAGCCCCCATTTAATGGTACGTCCTAATATTAGGTATTTTGAATAATGTCACAAAAATCATGAAAAATAAATAATAACAAATTTCTGGACACACATTTATTTGAGAACTATTCAAAAATTCAGACCTATATGGACATTTCTATGCAAAGATGTTCTTAGTAAACGAACACCTATAGTGGCAATTTACAGGAAATTCGGTTCAAAACTGTGAATAATACACTGAAAAAACCTTAAATCTTCCGGTACAGACATATTCGTGGACTGAAGCTGGAGTGATTTCCACACAGACGGATATATATATATATATATATATATATATATATATATGTATATATATATATATATATATATATATATATATATATATATATATATATATATATATATATATATATATATATATATATATATAATATATATATATATATATATATATATATATATATATATATATATATATATATATATATATATATATATAACTATGGATATGATATATATATCGAGATCGAAAAACCGACAACTTTTATATTTTTTAAATTAAGAGACGTACCATTTTGCGCTACACCAGTTTACGAGGGAGAGTAAATCATATTGTAAGGAGATTTACATTATCAGCGTACATTAAAATTTTGAAAAATCTAACTACATTCGGAAGATCTTTCAGGTAAAGAACTAATAATAATGAATCTAAGTGACATTTCTGGGGTACATGAAACAGTAGTATTCTTTGAAGAGGATTGATTAAAAATAACTTCTTGGATATGATTTTCAAAGTAGGAGGATATTCAGTTTAACAGGGATGTTGGGATACCCATTAAATTTAGTTCATGCAACAGTAACTTATAAACTACCGTACCAAAAACTTTGCTAATATCAGTATAAATAACGTCAGTCTGTTACTCGTGCACAAAACCACTGTGAACTTGACAAAAAAATTCTAATATATTGGTAATCATACATCTACCTTCAATGAAACCGTTTTAAAAAATTCGAAATTATACTGTTTAAATTATGTGATATCCTTCGTGATATCAAAAGTTGGAAGAGTTTTGGAATGGTGCTTGCCGTGGAGAGAATGAGGAGTGTAACGTTTTTAATCTAGAAAAAACTTCATCTTCTCTTAGGATAATACAAAGAGTATGATTTACTTTCTCAATATTGTAGCAATTAGAACCGTGGAAAGCATTCGAGATGTAAGATGATTGAAAAAAGTCGGCAAATAAATTATCAATCGCTTAGTTATCGTAAGATTCACTACCACCAAGTTTCATACTGCTAGGACATTTCTGTGCTTTCTTTTGGAATTTACAAATTTAAACAAGTTAAAAAGCAGTAAGTTCGGCCGGGCCGAACTTTGAATACCCTCCACCATTTATAACGAATTTAGAAATTTTCAAAAAATTAAATCCGTTAATAGTTCGGTTAAAATCTTAAAAATATCGAAGATAGCCGTTATATTGGGATCTATACGACGTGGAACTACATAAGCATTATCTGTCATAAGCCATTACCATATTCATATTCGAAACGTGAAATAAACGGTGAATAATGTAGCTAAACTTATAAAAATACCGTATATAGTAAGGTCCCGTTATATAGGAGCTATACAAAGACCTGGATCTGTATAGACAATTCTCTATCACAGGCTGTAGCATCCTTTACGAACTTCAAATAGGACATCTCAAATAATTTCGGTGAGTATTGTACCTAAAATCGTCAAAATACCGAATTTAGGGAGTTACTGATATATGGAGCCTATACGAAGACTTGAACCTTCAAAGACAATTTTTTGTCACAGACTGTAGTTCCCATTACGAACTCTAAATGCGTAATTTGAAACTACTCCGGTGTGCTAAAATGATGCTAAAATCATCAAAAATACCGAATATTGGGAGGTACCGTTATATGGGGGCTATACGAAGACGTTGACCTGCACATACAATTGTCTGTCATAGGATTTGGTATCCATTATGAACATCAAATGCCAAATTTTAAAAAATTCCGGTGAATAATGTCGGTAAAATTATCTAAATATTGAATGTTGGTAGGTACCATTATATGGGGGGCTATATGTTGTAGGGTCTAAGATGTATATTTCGTATTTACGGGCTAACAAAATTAATATATCTTTCATACTATAGTAGAGTATAAAAAATTAATAAATGATTAACTATAAAAAATTCCATATATGTGTTATATGTAACTTACCTCATCTGCCACACTATTTGCTTTAATTTGCAACTCTTCCAGCTCTGTTTTAGGGACTGGCGGACCAGCAACTTCTTCAGGATTTTCAACTGATGGCATTCTACAAAAAAATCAAGACATATAAACGTTATTAAATATTTTCAAGAATTAATTTCAAATATTTCTATTTTCAACATTGCAGATTTTATATTTTCCTTATAGACGGCTGAACCGACTTTCTTAAAATGTGCTAGGGAGATGGAGCTATTTTAGTGGAGATCAATATTGGCGAGACTCAAAGGGTCTTATATTGAGACAAGCCCTTATATAAATTAGAAATTAAGGGAGTTTTAAAATATTTAACATTTGAATTTAATTTAAAAGTTGGCAACCCTGTAAGAGTAGACGACAAATTACTAAAAGCTCCGCTATCTGAATTCTTATTTTTCATGTTAAAACGTACATTGCAATTTTTAAGGACTCAATCTAGACTCGAAACTTTTGTTGCTGATATTGATACTGCTGTGTTGCGTAACTTTTGCAGTGTTGCTGTTTTTGCATTGTAGTTGCATTTGCCTGTTTCTTTTTGTTGTTTTCAAGTTTTTGCTGCTTTTTTTAATATGCCACTTAAATTCAAGGCTTGTAATCAACACTTTACTAAGACACAGGGCAGTGCGTTGTGTAAAAGTTGTGACTGCTGGTTACGTGCAGCTTGTGCAGACATAGATGGAAAAAACTAAAGCCTTCATGGCCAATAAATAGTATTAACAATATAAATATTCCTGAGTAAACTTAAACTTGGCTCCCCAGGCATACCTTAAAAAAATACAAAAAACAAGGGCAATATTCATCTATATACCATAAGCAACAATACAAAAAAAAAAAAATAAATAATTGCCACCGTCATCAGATAAAGTTAAAAAAAAGATAATTTAAAATAAGAACAGTAATATTACAACCACGTCTCCATTCAACGAACTAATCTCAAGCGATTCAATAGTCTTTAGCGAAACGCATTGTTGGACTGTGAAAAAAAATCAAAGTTCAACAGACAAATGATTCCATATTCTAGCAACACGTATCACAAAGGAGTTTAACAGAATTTTTAAAAGATTATATTTTTTGAAAATTTCCAAATTCGTTCAAAATGGTGGAGGGTATTCAAAGTTCGGTCCAGCCGAAATTGCTGCTTTTTAGCTTGTAACATTATTAGTCGACTGTTACCATAGATTTATTAAAATTAATATTTTGTAGACAATAATGCTCATGACTAAATTAGGATAACAGAAAAAATTAATATAATCAACAAGTAAAAAACATAATTTCTACCGGACCGAACTTTAAATACCCTCCACTATTAGCTAAAGAAACCATTTTTATATAAAAGCATCTCGATTCAAACGTATTCCACTTCAAACTACAAATACCAGAGAGGTCGGTTAGATAATGCAGTTAAAGCTTACAAAAAAACAATTAAGTTGATTAGACAGAATGTGACTAAAATCGTCAATATACCGAACATCCGAAGGTACCGTTATATGTGCACTAGGAAATTGTAGATCCACCTATTTAAAGCTCTGCCACTGGATGTAAAACCCATTACGAACCATAATTACCAATTTTTAGAGAAATCGGTGAAAAAATGTGACTAAAACCATCAAACTACCGAAACCATCAGACACCGTCATATTGGGGTTATACGAAAACCTGGACCTATATATGCAATGTTCCCCCACCGGAGCTAAAACCTACTGAACTACAAATACAATAAATTGTGGCTACAACCACCAAAATAACGGATATCGGGAGATATTGCTATAGAGGCTGGCTAAAGGGAAGGTCAGCTGGTTTTGCGAAAAAAAGAACATCCGCTTTGGTCAAGCGTTGACATTTCTTGTTCGTTCAAATAATGTGGTCATTTGTCTGTGTACTTAAAGTCTAGTCAATTGATTATTGCTTTAAAATTAAAAGGACTATCGAAACCCATTATAAAACATCTGCGAAACCCTAAATTTTCTTCCGTAACCCGATTATATTTTTCGTAAAATTTATAAGCGTAAACTTAATGAACCGAATTTTGAACAAAAAACCCGTATTTCAACTTAAAAGAAACGATACGATATCTATAACATCGAGTTAATATTATATAATTAAATTATAAATATGTTGAAAATTGCTTGGAGGGTAGCTACAGCGATGATTTTTGAAAATCAGTTTTGTGTGAGGAACTGGATAATGTATGTTTGTTTTTACACATAACGCTGAACCGAAGCGAACGGAACCAAAACCACGGTTCGGGACTACTGAAAACACATTCCAAAAACTGAAACATGGTTCAAAAAGGAGCGTAAATACTTTGCAACTTCTTTAAAATGTACGATTAGTTCGTCGCAATGAATAACATTCTACTATAAGGATCATCCATTTAGTATTATTCTACCTATTACGGAACACGAATTGAGAAATACTCTGTTACTGACAATGCACCCGTGCTAGTCAACAACAACAACATGAATAACATTTGGAAATAAGCAGAAATCAAACAACTGGATAATAAATCATTATAAGAATTGAAAGTGAATAAAGTGTATTATCGGCTTGATAAACAAAAATAAAAATATTACTTTTTACACTATAAAGGAAACAAATAAAAAAGAGGTTAAAAAATATGTTTATAATGGCTACTGCTTCGAATATGGGCCCTCCATCCTGTCACCCCTTCCTGGTCCTTCGCAAAAGGAAAATAAGAACGATATGAAAAGTGTTATTAGACTTTACGTAGAATAGTCTAGGGAAGCTGTCAAGAAAATGTTGAAATGTTGTTGAGGTTATCGTGGAGACCAAGAGAATATCTCGTTGATTTACACAAGATCACGAAAGTAGTAAAATGTTTAAGAGATTTTTCAGGAAATCCGACAGAATACAGCACTTGGAAGAAGAGTGTAGAAAGGACTTACTAGCAATAGTATTGAAGTCCCTTAGAAACTACTTGTATGACTCAGCGAAAATGAAAATATTTGCACTGACATTTGCTCTAAATAATAAGAACTTTAATTGTAAATTGATAAGATGGAAAGCATTTTTAGAAGATATGAAGTAACTCAAAAACCAGAAGGATATACTGTCGTTGCTGACGTTCTTCTAAGAATTTCTCATGTGAACTCGCAACTTATCTGTGTAACGACAACACAAAATAACGATGAAAGTTTATCTCATAACTTCATTTCATTTACGGATGCTACTATAAATGATTTTAAAATCCAAGTTATATTATCTTTGAAGATCTAACATTAAACCAAATTGAGATAATCTTTCCCACTTACCGCAGACACACAATTTCTGATCCAAATGTTTCTAATGTCAATCTGAAATCTATCCTAAAATATGTCTAATTTTTTTCGTTACCAACTGCATCAAAACAGATGACAGCATTTTAGGAAAGATTTAAAGACAACTGTAGTCAATATAAAATTAAATACACTCGGTCTATAGTAAAGGATATAACTGGTAAGTTCGGCCCGGCCGAACTTACAGCTTTTATTCTTGTTATTATTTAAAAGAAAATTATACCTACAGCAATAGACAGATTTTTGAAATATGCGCAAGCTAGAATGATGTCATCAGAAGCAAAATAATAGCAGGATGATACTTACTGATATAAATTTTATATTTATAGATAAATGAAATATGTACATTATAAATTATTATTATTTTTTGTGATCATTTTTCATTTATACGGCAGTAAAAAATCTGTGTGGACTAGAATGAACTATTTTAACCAAACCAGCTTATACTTCTTCAATGAACTAGATCATTCTTCAATTGTAAAAGTATATAAAATGCAATGCCCTATAGACCCAACAAAATCACTCAAAAACACCCAGTCATTGGAGGACATTCGTATTCGATGTGTTATCAGGAATTCGACTCCTTATTGTGCTTACTTAAATGACTCAATTTTTGTATTTGGCTATCTAATACTAAGGAAAACTAGAATTGATTTTATGGAACGTCTTTAAACGGAATGAATTACTCAAATGGCTAATCAAAATATAGTTGGGAATTTTATCCCGCTAGAGTTTTTTTCTTTTCAATAAAATTTATTCATTTATTCTTTTCGTATACAAAGGCCTCTGCGCCATTAAGGCATTTTAGAGGCAAGTCGACACAATTTAAACAACTAATATATGAATAACATACATATCAATTTTTTAAAATGTACAAATAAAATAGTTTTAAAATTTATCTTTAAAATTTAGGAGTTCTTCAACATTTCGTAACAGACATTTTTTAATTTCTGAATTATAAAGTGAATATCTTCTAATATTTCTCAATTCATGGGGTAAATCATTATATAATTTACTACCAAAATGTTGGATACGTTGCTTAGTTTTTTCACTACGGCAGACTACTACTTGTAGTAGGACATTATTGCGAGTATTATATGAAATATTGTATGATGTCCAATGTCATTTACACATTTGCAGACATATAATAATGATTGAATTTTATGAATACCATGAACTGGTAAAGCCGTTGGAAATTTATATTTATACAAATTTAGCATAGAGTACATCAATGGCAAATTTGCAACTGAATTTATTGCTTTATTTTGCATTCGTTGTATCGATTTCAAATGTACAGTGGCTCCATATCCATAAATGATTGCCAAATAGTTGATATGACTTTGAATAAGAGCCTAGAATAAAAAAAAACTTGGTTTCACGGTCAAATTTCTTCCTGAATTTATACAAAATACCTATTGCAGGTGCGAGTTTGGATCAATATGAAGATTCCACGAAAGGTTATTTTGTACATGCAAACATACAAACTTCTTGAACTTAATTTCCATCAGCATGAATACTGAAACTTCCTAATATGGTCTAAACCGTATTAATTTTGCCTTTGTAGAATTAACAAAAAGTCGATTCAAAGGACATATTCAAATATTAATGAAGAATCATGTTCCATATACGATCTTACGCCAATTTCATGATTATATGTTCCTTGATTGTTTTATAGGTTGGCTTCTTCCTACGAAGCTTTAATAGCTTTTCCATTAATCCACGGTGCAATTCTTTTCTTTAAGACGTATGTAGAATTTTTATTGACTGAGCTGTT